GTGCCGGGCGTCACGCGTGTCAGCGGCGGCGGTCCTAACTTAGCGCTGTGTTTCTCCGCCAAGTGTTTGTCCAGTTTGACCGCCCGGTCGGTGGTATAGAGACACCGATGACAGGCGTACGGCTTGGCCGCCAGCGCCAGCAGTTCAGCGTTGGCCACGTATTTGGTGTGAACGAGTGTCACGTGACGGTCAAGCGATGGCCCGTTTGTGAACGATTGGTTGCATTTGCGGCACCGGTGTTGACGGCCATAGGGTGTCGTCGCCGCTCGCGATACACCTGTGGCGCCGGTGGCGGAGCCAGTGATCTGTGGTTTGGGTGTCGACGTCGAGACCGCTGATGGGAATTCAATGGGAACCGTTGACAGCCAATCGGTGGCGGATATGTCGCCCAAAACGGTTCCCAAATTGAAATCCTCGTCCATCGGTTCGTCGAACTCTTCTGTTGGGAAATTAAACACTCATTTAGTGGACAAACAATTAAATGGCAACAATACCGTCAGCTGATCCATCGGTGCGGACAACTGAAGTCGGGTTTTGTGTCAGACGTGTCGTCGCAGTGGTGGTCGTGACCACTGGTTTAGGCGTCACTGTTGACGGCCGGTCACCGGCGGACGCGACGTCGATGACAACGTCTGTGTCTGGATCGGCGTCCAAATACGTGACTATCATCTCTTCGATCGGTTTGTCCAACGGATCTAAACATACATTTAGTGATCAAAAACACTTCAATCAATAAACAATACCATCAACTGATCCATAGGTGTGGACATCGAATGTCAGGCTTTGTGGCCGATGTGTGGCGCCGGAAGTGGTGACCAGTTTCTTGGGCGTCACTATTGACGGCATGTCGCCGACCGATACGTCGATCACAACGTCTGTGTCCGGATTGGCGTCCAAATATGTGACCACATCTTCGGCCATTGGTTTGTCCATCGAATCTAAACACACATTTAGTGATCAAAACAACTCTACAATCAATAGATAATACCAGCGACTGATGGGTTGTCGTCTCTATTGATTGCCATTACTCTCGCTGTCGACGGGCCAACAATTGGCAGCGAGTTATCGCCGGTAATCCATGTATCGTTTGAATCGACGCTATTGTCCACAACCTCTTCAGTCACGTCTTCTGCGAATCAGATGACATAGAATGACAAAGAAGTTGTTTCTGGTAAACAAACGCCAAGACTTACCATTGGTATTGCTATCCATGTGATTGTCCGCAACCCGCGTAACCATCGGTGGTGTCATTCCGATGCCCTCATCGGTCTCCGCGACCTCTTCATTATCACTGGTGATGTCCACCACTTCCACCTCAGTTTTGTCATCGCTAACCAACTCTTCATTATCGGTGACCACCAGTTCATCATCGGTGTCCACCACGTGGTCATCGTCCAGACCGGGCACCCAATGCGTGCCCATAACGTACCCTAACTGTCGCTCAAACTCTTGAAGAATCTCTGCGAAACGATCACCTGTTTTGCCGCACCGGCACTCTGTCAACAGATCCGTGGCGTTCACCCGGAAGTCCTCCAAGAGCTCATACATGTGCCGCTGGTATCGCAGCCGTCGCCGCAGCCATCGGTTCTCCTCCCGCAACTCATCCCATAAGTCGTTGACCACAATTACGGACATTGTCTGCAATGGTGGGCAGCGATCTGTTAATGGCAGGGATCAGTTGTGGTGATGATAATTGAAGACACTTTGTTGTTGAGGCGCTTCAAGTCTTGAGCGCCAAAAATGTGTTGTTTTTTGTATTGTTTGCCGCCTTTTGTGTTACAGTTTTGATAATCACGTGACAAACGCGTGGCTAAAAGTTTTTGAGCTCTTTTTTGAGTTTTATTACAGTTTGTCTGGAAATTAGTTAATTATTTTTAATTAAAAGTTGTAATCAATTAATTAATTGTAATTATTTTGATTTAATTAATTAATATCTTAATATTACTAGTGTTTGAATAATTTTTTCACATGATTTTGATTTTTATAAAGTTTTTTAATTGACAATTTCTGTTGAGTTTTATTAATTCACAATTTTTTTAAAGTAATTAATTTAAGTAATTAACAAAATATTTGATTCATTCATCCAATGATTTAATTAACAAAACAATACATAAATCTCTGGACAAATATTTGAGAAAAATAATGTTTTTTAAATGAAATAAAAATTAACTTTTGATTACAAACATTCAATTTAAGACAATCAACAATTCGGTACATTTCTATGTATTAATAGTTTAATTATTTTGTACTGTAATAAAAAACAATTTATATTAACGATTAATATTAACTTAAAACTTATCTAAAATCACAATTAAATTAATGATTAATTTAATTGCAAATACAAACGACTTGAAAAAAGTTAACTCAAATGCAATTAAAAAACATCAAAAAATAATACAAAGACTTATTTAAATGCAAATATTATGAGAAAAAATCACTAAATTATCACTCAATGAGACCTTACGTTACAGTCAAACCTCTGGATCAGGTCTTTAGTCCCACTTTCAGATGATATCTTCACTCCTGACTTCGAGCCATGAATTTGAGGGCCCTTTTGAAGGCCATCTTCACGGCTTTGCGTTCGCCCTCTTCGGGGCATTCAATCAACTTTTTACGGTCAATGTCTGCGTCCA